CCCTTTCCTCTATTCTACTGATATCCCTTTGCTTTCCATGAGATCAACGCTCCCTCACACCTTTCTTTTCCTTTTTTCTCTCTAGCTTCCACATATGAGAGAAAACACATCACCCAGACCTTTGACTTATTTCACTTAACAAAATAATCTCAAGTCCATTCGTTTTCCTGCAAATGACAATTTTATTTTTCTTTATAGCTGAATAAAACTATTGTGTATATATACCACATTTTCTTTATCTATTCATCCACTGATAGACACCTAGGTCAGTTCCATAGTTTGGCTATTGTGAATTATACTACTATAAACATGGGTATGAATATATCACTATAGTATGATGACCTTAATTCTTCAGGATGAATATGGAGGAGTGGTATAGCTGGGTCATATGGTGGCTCCAAGCCTAGTCTTTTGAGGAAACTTGTACTGATTTCCTCAGTGATTATACTAAAATATAATCCCACTAACAGTGTAAAAGTTTTTCTTTTTCTCCACATCCTCTCCAGCATGTATTATTGTTTTTATTCTTGATAATTGCTGTTCTGACTAGAGTGAGATGAAATCTCAGGGTAATTTTGAATTTTATTTCCCTAATAGCTAATGATGTTGAACGTTTTTTTATATATTTGTTGACCATTTGTATTTCTTCTTTTGAGAAGTATCTGTTTAGTTCATTTGCTCATTTGTTAATTGTGTTATTTTTTGAGTTCTTTATATAGTCTGGGTACTAATCTTCTGACAGAAAAGTAGCTAGCAAAGATTTTCTCCCATTCTGTAGGTTCTATCTTAACATTCTTAATTATTTCCTTAGCTTTATTGTTTTGTTGTTGTTGTTGTTGTTGTTGTTGTTTTTCTATTTGTTCTATGGTAATTTTCTTGGTATACTTTCCTTTTGTTTCATGGCACAATTGAGTATATGATCTGTGTCTATTTGTTTTCTCTGATTATTACCTTCTCCTAGAGTATGTTGAAAGAACTCCTCTAATGGTTTCTTTTGTATTCTGGCTCCTATTTGATTGAGATAAACTCTTTCTTTAGGAATTTTGGAAAAGTTTATAGAGGCTGTCAGCCTATGATAGCATCAAGTAAAGTCTCTCTTATTCACAGGAATGCACCTCCAATACAGGGTTGTTTGTATGTGCCCATGTACATGTTGACTTAGCCTTCCCTTTTTTCCAGAAAAAAAAAAGAAGATATTGGAATCAAAAGACTAATTTGTATAGAAACTGTCTCCTAAGGTCTTCTTTACCAACAGACATGCTTTAGATGGCATGTCTAAATATTTTCCTGCCTGTTCCACCTTCCCTGTTCTTAATGGAGCCAAGCAATACCTGGGATGCTTTTATAGCAGCCCATTCACCTTGGACCAGTTGTTTCCAAAAGACAATGGCACTTGTGCCATTGTTCACAAACCCACTTTGCTTGAGGTCTTTGTTCATACACAGCTTTCAGCATTTATCTGCTCTAGGTTAAACTTTCCAGCTTTGGGCAGCCTTTTGCCAACGAAGGCGAGGCTTGTATTTCTGTTTCACATTTTCCTTCTTGTTTTGGAATGAATTCAGCACAAGTGGGCAGGGCTGTCTTAATACAGCCATCATAAAATCATCATAAAAGGACTGTGCACCCCTGATGGTCCCAGTGAATAGCCAGTACCCAATACTGTATTAGAAAAGAGAAGGTCCTTTATAAATATTTATTAAATGAAGTAAATAAATCTAAAAATGAGTAAGCAATTTTTAAATAAAATAGTAGAGACATAACTGCATTCAGAGCCTCTAAACTCATCTTTTTCATTGTACATCTTCACAGAATTAAAGTCAGAATGATTTATTTCTACCCCATTTTGGTAAGAAACATGGATAATCTATAAGCTACAGCAGCAAGCCCTTGAGTCCTACAACAGACTGGACTCAAGGGCTTGCTTCTGTAGCTTATAGATTATCCAGATGCAGCCAGGGAGGAAAGATTCTGTGAGAACTAGAACACTGTAAGATGTGGACACTTGTGGGACCCCTTGTGAGTTCCATGGGCATCTGCAGCATGGTGGATGGCCTCCTAAGCAAAGCTCAGCCTGACTCAGTCAGTAGAGCTACTAGGGTAGGTTTCTCTCTCGTTTCCTACTCACAAGTGGAGGGAGGCTTTGACTCAAGGAATCTATACCTTAAATCTCCTGAGAACAAGAAGTATGTTTCAGACTACACCTGTGACTTTTTATGGGGATGTAATAGGCATTTGAAATATGCACATGTTCATTTCTAATTTTCCTTGACTCTGTAGGTAACACCAAAAAAAAAAAAAATGTCATATCTGCCCAAAACACTTCAATGTCTAAGCACAGGCAAGACTCCTCATTCTTTTTAGAGATCATCATGGAAATTTTCCTTTCTATTCTTCTGTTATCTTGAGTCATCCAGAATTCTCCAGATTGCTCATGCTGTGTACACTTCTCACTCCTGAGCTGACCACAGTTGGCCATCCATACCAGCCCAGACCTGTTTCCATGGAGTGCCCATACCTGCCTAGACATCAGTATTAAATGAGTAAGACAGCAGGAAAGAGATGCATTTCCACAGTCTGCATTAGTGTTCTCTTTAGAAGTGCAATGACCGGCCATTTCTCCCCAAGTTGGACACATCAGTGATGTTTCTTTCAGACACACTGATATTACCCCCATAGTTCACCTCACCAAAGCTCCCTCTCATATATATACCTGAAAACCTGTGTTCACTCCCATCTAAACCCTGCTCTGGTGTCTACATGGGTTTTCATTAGGGTACCAAGCATTCTAGTTTTCCAAAGCTGTCCCAGTTAATGTCTGGTGTCCTGTCCAGCTAAGCAGTTGTCCTCATCAAAAGTGAGTTTAATTGATGAATTACAAATTCTTCCATTAGTACAATGCTCAACTTTCAAAATGCAACATGAGTCAGAGTATCTCTAGTTATATACAAAGTTCTTCTCTCCCTCACTCCTTTGTAGAAGACTATTAAGACTTACCAAGAGATGAGGCAGACAGACAGGCACCCAAACCACCTGAGGATGGTTGGGGAAAGTTGATAATATTGCTAGATAGGCTCAGAGAAGTTTGTGTGAGCCTTGAAGGAAGAACCCATCCCAAAGATTAAGAAAGAGGAGTATGACTCCCTGTCCAGGGAAAACGTTTTGGAATCATGTAATCCTTCGACCAGGAAGGGGACCACTTACGGAGGATAGGTATTTTGTGTGGCTCTCATTCCTCCTTTTGTGCCTATACCTCCTGGCCAATAATGCACCAGTGATCTCTATTATTTCATTTATTTCAGTGACTTTAGGTCTTGGTTTTGGTCATAATGGTGATCTATATGAGCCATCTATAGTGGGCATGGTTAATGAATCCTATTTTATTGCTTAATTAAGAATTTGAAAGTCCCGCAAATTACTGCAATTAACATGGATTTTTTTCCTCATTTATTTACTTATTTAGATTCCTGAAATTGCACCCTTAGCTTAAGCCAACAGCAGGGCTTAGAGCCTGTTAAAATACATGCCATTTATTAAAATACTTATTCTTCCCCAACAGTGGGGGCAGCAATTTGGAAATGGTGGTGGTATCTATGTGTACAAAATGTTTTGAAAAGAATATCCTTTAAATTCAGCTGGTTGAGCCTGGTAATATAAAAGTTGAATTTATTGAAAAACCTGTTGTGTGACTTAAATAAACTTAGGATTTTCAAAAGAGCCTGTTGTATGTTGACTTCACCTTACCTGTTTTTATTCTTTGGTTTTGTTTTTGTTTCTAATTCGTTTGCATGGAAACACAGCTCAAATAGCAGTGGTTAGAATTAACCAAACATACACTCCCAACTATAGCTATCAGGAGTACAAATAGGTATGATTCTACAGAAAATGTTTGAGAAATAACCTATTAAAATCTTAAATGAAGCCTAACCTTTAAAATCCAGTTATTCCACTTTGAGAAATTTATTCTTAAAATGAAGAATGTGCACCAAGATTTAGCTACAACAATATTCATTGTAGCCTCATTTATAATAGGAAAACAAATAAAATAACCAAAATGTGCAGCAATAAAAGATTGAGTAAATTTTGATACAGTCTTACATTAGAATTCTGAACAGCTACTAAAAATTTGTAGATTATTCTAGTTATCTATGACTGTGATGCCCTAAAAAATAATGACTTGGAACAACCAACATATGTCACAGTTCCTGCAGGTCAGAGACTTGGGCACAGCTTAACAGGGTCTGACTCGGTTTTCTCACAAGACAGCGGAGAAGGAGTCTTCTGGGACCACAGGCATTTAGGCTTGCTGTGGAGAGGAGCCACTTTCAAGCTCATTCCCATGGTTGGGCAGGTTTTAGCTCTTCCCAGGGTGTAGGTCAGAAGTGTCCTGCAATTCCTGGACACATGGGCACTTCTGCAGAGCAGTTCATGACATGGCTTCACCACAGCAAGCAAGTCAGAAGGCAAGAGAGTGTGAATCAAGGATAGAGTCTTTTTGTCACCTAACCTCAGAAATGACATCTCAACGCTTTTGCCCTGTTCTGTTGGTGAGAAGTCAGTCAGAGGTTCAACCAACACTCGATGGCAGTGAATTACACAATTACACAATCATGAGACCAGGAGGAGGCAGGGGTCACTGGGACCCATCTTGGGTGCTATCGACCAAAGCTGAAGTCTGTTTATTAGCGAAAGGTATTCATAATATCTTATTCAACAAGACAAGAAAATCACAAACAGTATGTGAAGTATGGTCCTTGTCTTGTAAACTAAAACCAATTTTGTATTTTTTTTCTTTTTCTTTTTTCATGAAACAATCTAAGTGTCTCATGGGTTATTAGTAGTTATACCTGGATGGTGGAAAAATAAAGGAATTGGATGTCCTGTTTCTTAATCTGTGTTTTTTTGGTTTAGTTTAGAATTTTTAAAAAGAATAAATGTTATTAATTTTTTTAAAAAAAGCAATGTGAATGCTCCTGTGTTTCTGACCTGCACTCTCTTTACAGGACTATATCCTGCTTACTACTTGAAGACAAACAGAAGTTCACAAGACCACTGTGACTGAGGAAATTGTAAGTGTGTTCTAGAACTTGCTGCTATGATTGTGTCTTCTAAAATAGCTGTTATCACCAATAATAATACCATGAAAAACTAGAATTATGCTCCTCTCTGAGGTCACTGTTACCACTGAGGGACAGTGATTGGCCTGAGCAGGTAGGAAACCTGAAGACCTGTCTCCTGTGCCGGTGTCTTCCCAGCTCAGTTCTCGTTGCCTTCAGTCATGACTAGCATAATCACATGGCTATTTCCTCTGCAAAATTCCAAAGGGAGAGGTTCTATTTATATGTCAAAAATAGATGAACAGATCTGACACTGCTGAACATAATTGCAAGTTTGAAAAAGGAGAGGGGATGGGAGAGAAAAGATAAAGTCATTAATAATCTCCACACTTCATTAGTTTTCCTGTTTCATGTCACCAGGAGGGCCTGAGTTGGGATGCTACTAGTTCAGGTTTGGAATGACTTCTTCAGCAATGTAAATGTTATCTTAAGGTCACTTTCTGATGAAAACTACTCTATTGCCAAGCACAGATTTATTGGTTGCTTGACAGGCAGATCAGCTGCTCTATACCTACACAGAGCACTAAAAAAAGAAGCTGTTCAGGATGGGCAAGCTGGTACGAATGAGGAAAGAAGGTAGTAGTCTCCAAGATGGCAGGGGATTCAGACCTTTCATACTAGTGGGTCTCTTTTCACTGGGATCTCTAATACAATATCTGTTATAACAGGTAATAGCCAAACCTTGGTGATTTAAATATGAATCATCTTTTTTTCCCCTCTAATAAGTTCCAATTTGGAATTTATCTAATTGGTGACTCGGAAACCCACCTGGCTCCTATCTGGCTTCATTGTCTTCTAAAGCCAACAAATTTTAGGTTGGATCATCTGCATCTAAGTGGTTGGTTGGGAAGGAGAAAATGGAGATGGCATGCCATTTCCTACCAACTGTGGCCTACGATTGACATTCATCACTTCCACTCATATCCCATTGGCAGAAACCAGACATAAGGGCCTTCTCTTGATGGAAGCAGCCTTGAGGTAGTTCTTAGATGGCACTCACTTCCCAAAAGCTCCAATATGTGATCTGAGAACACACACCATGAGTTCAATCAAGAAAAATTATAGTGTTCAAAAGTTCCTGCCAGAAAAATTCTGGGTGGGAATTCATACATCCATCATGGAGCAAGAATTAGTTGATTTATCAACTGCCCTAGGTGAGGGAATTCTAATACCAATCATATCTCTTTATCATGATAACAAGACTATAAATAAGGCTGTCCTTCACCAGAGGTTCTAGATGTGCCTGCCGATGCTGGAAGTCATAAGAACCCATTGAGGTTTCAAGACATCAGTGTTCTAGCCACTTTGGTGGGGAAGTAATAATGCTATCAATCACCCTTTACGAAGGCTATAACATAGCAGGTTGCTGGAAATGTCTCCAAAAAACATGAGTGTGGCTCCAGAAAGAGGAAAAGTGAGTAACCACGGGTCTGTTTATTGAGAAAACACTGGCCAGAATCACAAACCCTGGTAGGCAGGTACAATCTGGGATTCACTTCTAAGTCTCTTATAGTTTTGTTTATCCTCCATTCAGCTCATGGGCCTTCTTCAAGCTAACTTTAGGATTAATTCTTCAGTGACTTTGTTTTCTGTTGAATGTAATAGGAAGGGCCAAGTGTTTTCTGTAACCCTAGGTTTGCAATGTAAGTCTTTGGAGATAGGCTGGACTCTGTGTGGGGTGACCTGAATGGCCAGAAGCAATGAGCTGTAGTAGACAGAGACCTCAAGGTGGAGACCAGTCCCATCCCCAGAACTGCTATGGACTGCTGTGAAGGCAATAAGAGTAATTTGGACTCAGATGAGGCCACGTTTTCCCCAAATGTCGAATGGAGTAAATGGTGCGCACCTCTCTACTCCCTTTATTTTCTTAGGAAAATACGGAGAACTTGGGGCTCAGACAAGAAATTTTACAGTGCCTTGAGAATCACAGCATGCTAAGCAAGTACAGCAGAAACTCGCCATTATCTCTGTCCTGCTGCCATTACTATTTTGCAGCCAGCTCAGCTTTTCTTATCACAAAGCAGTTAATAAAGTGGCAACTGTGTTGTTAGCCTCTGGGGGGGGGCAAAAGAGCCAAGTGAGGCTCTATTTTTATCACATTTTAGTGTCCTGGTTTTCTTTCACAAGTGGATTTGGAAGTCTTTTAATTACAGTAGTATTTTACTATATTTGCTTATGACAAAATTCAGGATAGAAACATTTTTTTTTAAATACTAAAAAATGGAGGCTTCTCCTAAAGGCTGAGTGAATCTTTCCCTGCAGCCAGAGCACTGACACCTCTGATCCCACCTCCAAGTTTGTTACCTACAATTTTTAACAAATTATTCTCTGCATACCCCCGTCACCCAGAGAAAGAAATATATCTGCAAATCCATTAGTAAAGAGAAAAGTGAGAAAATCCATCAGTCTCAGGGTTTAGTTCATAAACTGGTCACAAGCTAAGAAGGATTTTTTTTTTCATGGTCACAAGGAGTTGTGAGAATAGGAAATTTAGAAATCAACATAAAGACAGATCAGAAGAATTCAGTCAAAAAGAAAAGGATTTTCATCCCTGACCCTGGGGCTTGGCTATTCCACTATTTCCTAAAGCATCTCATTTAAGCTTTCCTCAGCAGAGTCATCAGAAAGTCAGGTTGGCAGTGCCTCATTAAAAGGAAAAGAAAAGACAGGCATGGTGGTGCACACCTGTAATCCCAGGGGCTCCAGAGGCCAAGGCAGGAGGATCGCAAGTTCAAAGCCAGCCTCAGCAAAAGCAAGGCACTAAGCAACTCAGTGAGTCCCTGTCTCTGAATAAAATACAAAATAGGGCTGGAGATGTGGCTCAGTGGTTGAGTACCCCTGAGTTTAATCCCTGGTACAAAAATAAAGGAAAAGAAAAATGTTGCAAAATAGGGAATTCAGCCAATTAGAACCATAAAATGTTGAATTGGAAGGAGTTTTGCAACATACGAACCAAAATGTCCATTTTACAGATGAGAGAATTCAGACAGGTGAGCATATATTCAAAGTTGTACAAAAGAACAAGTATTAGGACAATTCTCAAGGGAGTGTATTAGTGTCTACTGTAACAAATTACCACAAATTTTGGCGGCTTAAAATGGCAATGAAGTTTTATTTTATTATAGTTCTGTAGGTCAAAGATCTGCTCGGGTCTCACTGGGATGAAATCCCATGTAGTAATGTGTTGATGGGGTTGTGTTTTCTTCTGGAGAGTCTGGAGAGAATCCATTTACTTGTGCTTTTCAGTTTCCAGAGGCTTCCTACATTCCTTGGCTTGTGATTCTTTTATAGTCGAACCTCTGACCACAGCTGAGAAAGTTCTTCCACTTTTAAGACCTCATGTGATTAGACTGAATTTATGGATTTAATCACATCTGCAAAATCACTTTTGCCATAAAAGGTAACACATGCACAGGTTCCTGGGGATGAGGATGTGCACACTTTTCAGTGGGGGTGGGCACTATTTTGTTTACCACCAAGAAGAAAGGAAGAAGATAGTAATTCAAAAGAGAGTTAGTTGGTTGAACAAGAAATAGCTGTGGACAACTGTTGCAGATTGGGACCCTGGAAACCAGTATCTGAGATGGAGGCTTACATAGTCAAAGTAAGAATGTTCTTAGGGTCAACCCCTACAGGGGCAGGAAGGGAGGGTAGCAATAATGTGCAGTGGGAAAGGGTAGGCTTCAGGCTTGTCACAAGGCCTAGGTTGACTTCATGGGGATCCCTAGAATAGGATGGCCCTTTGGAATTGTCATGAGGAGCTGAGCATTTAAACCCCTTTCCCTCTGACCTCTGTGACCACATCAAGCAGTCTCTAGGATGTGACCGAGTCATCTCTCTTCTGACAGCTTCCAACAGTTGTGTAGTAATATGTTCTTCATTTATTAAGCAGAATCCAAGCAGGCGATCACACCTCAGACTAGAGCACCCATTCCTAAGCTTCATGTATCTATGTGATAAAAAAGAAGGTCAACTGTGGTGGGTTCAGAATGATACTTGATTGGTTGATCTCTCAAAGTGGTCCTGGACTCACAACTTAGAAATCAGAAGGGAGAGTGTTATGTGCTTCATCTTTGGTGTAAGGCTAGATGAGATGGTGTCTGAAAACAGAGTAAGATGCATGAAAATGGGAGTAAAAGCAGGTGGGAATAACACGGGGATAGGAGATTGAGATTGTATCAGAAATGCTGTGGATTTCAGAGTTAGCAACAGGCTGTGCTGGCTTTACATCACTGAGACAAATATCTGAGAAAAACAACCTAGAGGAAGAAACCTTTATGGATTTATCTGTGGTGTCTACTACCCTTCTGCAGATGTTGGGCTCACAGCTTCAGAGGTTTTAGTCCATGCTCCATCAGCTTTATTGTTCTGGATCTAAGGCGAGACAAAACATCATGGCGGAAGGCTATAGCAGAGGGAAGCTGCTCAGCTCATCTGGGAAGCAAAGGGAGAAAAGGAGGAAGGGGTGTAAAGAAGACAAACCCTTCCGTGGCATGTCTTCAGTGACCTACTTCCCCCAACTAGGTCCCACCGCCCAGTAGTCTAGTCAGCTATCAATAGGTCAGTCTATCACTGGTAAGGTCAGAGCCCCCAGGATCCACTTGTTGACTAAAAGCTCCACCTCTGAAACTTGCTGCATTGGGGACCGTGCTTTCAACACAAGACTTTGGGTGAGATTTCAGATCTAAACCATAACACAGATCATGCACTCTGGAGACTAACATCCAAACCCAAGTCAGAAATCTAGGGCTCTGTCCAAACCACAGCAGAGAACTAAGTGGCCGCTGGCAGAGGCTGAGGGCAGGGTAAGTATCATGATAATGGTTTATATACTAACAACTTGCAGCAGGTGGTCAAAAAAAGTACAGTCCAGGATTGGCCATGGAAGTAGCTGGAAAAATAGATTAAAACATCCTCTTTAGTAGAACTAAAGAAAGGATAAGAATTTAATT